GAAACGAAAAAAAAAAAAAAAAATATATATATATATATATATATATATATATGGGATATTTGTTTAGATATTTTGTTTTTCCACAACACAAAAGTGATAGAATTTACAGTAAAAAATATTTTTCTTTAAGATTTTATGACATCTGTGGAAATGATTCACAAAAGGCAATTTATGATCAACTCCATAACATAATGAAAGGAACTTCCATTAACCTGTACACCTGTATTGGCTTGATCTGCATGATATGTAAAATGTTTTCTTTTGGAGTTGCTTAAAGTACTAAGAATGACTAATTCACAGTCCTTGATGAGTAAATTTTTGCTTTTGTGAACATAATTGATACTTTATATGGTCAACCAGGTTTATGAAGCTCTTGTCTAGAAGTTTTTCCTTTAAAATTAAACATGAGGGGAAAAAAAGGCACTATGGTTTTTTAGCTAGAAGTCAGATTTCTGCGCTTTATACTTCAGTGGCCATTATTCTTGCTTGTTTTGTGCTCTTATATCAGCAAATTGGTGTAGAGTCAGCATGTGTAAAAAACAACACGTAGAGAAGTTATATTATTTTTGACAAAGTAAGCTACAAAGAAGATGTAATTTACAGTCTAACTTCTAAGGAAGTTGGGTGGTTTCATCAAGTCCCCATCAAGAGAGAAACTCATAAATATCAATCATGTTTCAAATAACATAGGTGGACTATACACATCTCTGTGGGAAAACTTAACAATTATTAACTATTATGAAACTACATATCCTTAGAGATTTGTCATCTACCTGTGCACCTTTCATAGCCCTTCCTCTCTATGAATTAGTATAATCATGAAAAGTAACATATTTTTAAGCATTTGTTTGCATGTACTGTCATTTTAAGTGCCATATAAAGAGATTTAGATACAGTTCCGCTTTCTGGGAACTTACAAAGACAGTGAAAGAATACACAAATCAGTAACTCAAGTATTGAGAATTGAAGTAAGTGCATTTCACTGTTAAATTAAATTTGAGTTGGGGAATTGACATGGTTATACAGGAATGGATAGACAGACTGCTTACTGTTTTCTCCTCAGTCTCTTAGATTTCTGGAAATGAGAGAAAGGTGTTTTGAAAGATGAGAGAGAGACCTTTATTAGCTTGCAGATGAGCTATTGACATTTGGCTTGAAATTTGGCCTGACACCAAAACAACAACAAAACAAACAGTGATGGAAGGAATAATTAAGCTCTAAGCCAAATTCATGGTCAATCTCTTGAAAGTGTATGGGCCCGAGGCATATATTTTATTTTATTTATTTTCTTTTAAAAATTATTTCTTACATTTAGAAAAAAAGTTTAAAATACAGAGATTGATGTAATAAATACATTAGTACTCATCACCTAGCATTGAAACTGTTGACATTTTCATTCTGTTTCAGGTTTATTTTATAGATAAAGTTGAAGTCTTCTTTTGAGGACCTAACTCAGTACCATTTGCCTTCTTACCACACCAAAGGCAATCTCCATCATGAATTTTATTGCTATCTTTCAGGCTATCTATTGCTTTGAACATATTTTAATATGTATTTCATTTCTCTTACTTCTCTCATGAATATTACCACAGTTATTCTGCAGCATGTACTTCTCCATTTACCCTTACATTTTGAGATATAGCCATGTTAGTACACAGAGAGCTGGTTTATTCTTTTAATGGCTATATAGTGTTCCACTGTAGAACTAGAATACCATTTATCCCTTCTTTTAGTGGATAACATTTAAGTTTCTTAAGTTCTGTTATTGAAAGTGTGCTGCAGCAGCCACTTCGTACATATTGACCAGGACATGTATGCACAGCTTTCTCTAGGGTGTACCTGGGGTGGAAATCACTATGTTGCAGATGTGTATGTTTTCAACTTTATATAAGACTTTTTTTTTTTTATGAGACATTAAAACTATTCTTTTTGACTTTTGCCAATACGCTAAATGGGAACAGTATCTCAATGTTTTAAGTTGGATTCTCCTGGTCACTTGTGAGATTGGAAATCTCATGTTCATTGGGAAGTTTTCTTCCTCTCTGAATTGCTTATTCATGCTTCTTGTCCATTGTCTATTTTTTCTTTATTTAATCTATAGATGTTCTTTATAAATTCTGAATATTATTTCTTTTTATCAGTTATATGAGTTGCAAATATTTTCTTTCATTGGTCATTTGCCTTTAAATTTGCCTCAGTGTCTGTAGTTCCACGGAAATTTCAAATGATCAAATAATTGAAGTTCTTAAACTTTTTCTTTGTGAATTGTGCTTTCCTTTATGAACTATGACCTGGTAGTGAGAACATCTCTACAGAGAGCTTTTATGTTTGCCTCTGCTAAGGGTCCTATGCATTTTACTGGCCCAGGACTAGTTTGTATATTAACTTTGAGACTTGGGACCCATGCTGTGAGCTGGGAGTGGGTGCTGACTTAGCACTCATGCACAGCACTGGGGTTCTGCACTTGGCCCTTTTCTTCCTCTGGTCCCAAGCAGAAAGTTAGCTCCTTTGTCACTCTCCTGGGGAGTGGTCACGGTGTAGCTAGTTTCCCTTGTGTGTATGGACAAGTCCTATGTGATTTCTTGCTCTTCGTAGGTAGCTTGGTTCCTGCACCCATGTGCACAGGTCCCACAACTAACACTGAAAGCCTGGCCACCAGCTCCTCAGACGTATCTCAGGTCCAGTTCTCCCCAGGAGTCACGTGGCTTTGGCTCCTTCTCACTGCTTTGACTTTGAGTTCCATCTTTATTTTCAGCACTGGGACACTGGGTGTGTGTGTGTAGTTGTGGTATGGTTTGTCCAAAATTTCTGTGTTTAAAGTGGGAAAAAAGATTTCTGTGTCAACTCAGACATACTGACCAAAGTTCTGACTACCTTTATATATACTAAACGCAAATCTAGATTCCCTTTGTTTTAACTATTTTACGTGTTGGAGACAAATTTTGGTTCTTCAGTGCTTAATAGAACCTTGGCAGAAAACCCCCTACAGGCAGCCTTCCCCTGACTTGAGACTGGTTGCTTTATTACCTGGTGTTCTGTCTCTCCCCGTCTACTGTTTCATTTGCCTGACTGTCTCTTCTCGTAAGAGAGCAGCAATAGAGGTAGAGAAACTATGCCATGCGTAAAACCCCACATTAGGATTTCTGAACAAGAGATCAGCTTTATCCTAATTCTTCTTCCCAGTAATTTGTCTTTTAGGAAATAATATTTTCTTTTTGTGGGAATAACATAATTTGTATCCAGTGGCAAAGTTTATCCTAGTAGGTGCCCAGCTCCTTGCAAATGTACATTTATTAGATCACTTTTTTCTTTTGTGCTTTAAAACTCTAGTTGAACATAATATTCAGTTTTCATAGTTTTATCTCAAGACTCAAGGAAAGTTTTGATTCATAAGCTGTTAGGTGACAATGGTAATATTTCAGAAGCATCTCTCCACTTTTGCAATTGTCATGGTAAAATCAAGAGATGATGCCTTTCCATAAACTATCCCTAGGAGCTATTGTAAGAAACAAGACTGCCATGCTAGATGAACCTCAAAATGCCTGATATGTAATATTGGTCCAAGAACCACCCTTTTACTAGGTGTGGCTCTTTGGATGGCTTGAATAACAAAAACATTGCTCTGCATCACAGCATTTTAGGAGGTTTTGTTGCTGCATGATGCTTGGCATTCTATGGGATCCAAGGCGAGGATATTTTCAGCCTTGCTCCCAAAATGGAGATTTTAAGCAAGGCTCACAGAAAAAGGAGACATATCCCTTCCTTGATTTATCGTGTCACAGTTCCCTCCCAATTTTCACCAACTCTGAATCCAGCATTGAAACCACTCATATTGCACAACTGAGGGGTGGGGAACATAGTCAGAAAAGTCAGAATAACTCCACCAGCCATGTGACCTTCAGCCTTACCTCAGAGATGTTTCTGGGGAGCCTCAAGTGACATTGCACCAGTAAATACCAATAGACCCAGTCTTCAGTAGAACCTTGGCACTTGGGTGCTTCCCCTTGTCCTCAGGTGACCTGGCAAACACTCAGAA